CCTTTGTTACAAGAATATGCCTGAGTGTCATCTTGGGTAAATCCTTCTGCATCATAAGACTACCCATCTTTCCTGGGATGATCATCGTAATAATATTAGTAACCAATAAAAGCATGTACCCGGAGCCTGTGCAAGCAGCCACCATCCTCTTAACATTGCAATGTTGATCTTGACACTGGTAGACAAGGTCCATATGTGAGAGGTGACAACCTGAAAGGTGATCTGAGCCAGGACAACTTATATTAAATGCTGTAAAGTTTAATTTTCCTCTTAAATTTTTTGTAAAAGTATGCATGAACAATCTCGTAATTTCTACCTTTACTCCAATGGACTGTCTAATGCACTTGTCAGATGAACACCCCACTTCGGGGGCTGTCAATTTTGCTTCACTTTAATATACACCCTGTGTGGAGTGAGGAGGTGAGAGACTCAATGAGGTAAATCAGACCTCGTGCCCTGCTTAGGAGTTTTGGCATTCTAGGAGCTCCAGGAAGCATTAAAGAGCCTTCAAAGACAGCGGGTGACTTGTATTCTTACAGGATTATTCTGCATGCACTAAGAAGAATGCACTGTGGAGGGTGCACACCTAACAGGAGTTGTAACGGCAGACATGCAAAGAGGAACAAACTTTTTTAATCACTTTCTCTCAGGAATCTTCATCTGTCCTTCTGGGACATTTGAAATCTCCTGTAAGCTAAAAAGTTTCCTCCTTCAAAAAATTCCTTTGCAACTATCCTGTTCCTTCCATCTATCTCACAAAATACTGTCTGGTTCCTTTCTGAGGGCATTTATCAGTCAACTTTCAGAAAAGGAAAGAGAAACCACTTTAGATATTATAAGTGGAAAAAGATTAAAGTATATAAGGGCATACAAAATTCAAGGCAAGTTTGCAGGTGGGAGCTCTGAGCCAGAAATTACTCCTGAAACTCCACAGTCCGATCTACTATAGGACCTACTTGGTCCTAAACCATCAGTGAAACTGTGATTCCCACTTTATATCATGGGAATCAGAAGGCCAGAAACACAACCCACTGCAGCATCTACCTCTCAAACCCCACACAGCTGGTGACGGAGCACCAAGTGGCCGAAGAACATTTTAGCTATATGACCTCGTATTATCAGAAAATAGGCAAAGCAGCAGGAAAAAGTCTTCTGCTCACCTCAACATTCTACATTTTGCCTAAATGCTTATAATTCACAAAGCCTGACTCTCTTATACAACTCTAGCTGCAGGAATATTGAGAAACATAATATCTAGCTGTCCAGTATCTTGGTATTAACAGCTACCCTAGAAAGAAAATTGAGCAAGCCACACTTACAGGTTTGAGCACAAAACTTTTCCACATATAGTAATACATGCTAAGTTATTTTTGCAGGTCTAACCACCCCTTAATCTCAAAGTAAGAGAATGAATCTTATTTTACATCCTTCAACTGTAAGTCTTGCAAATGAGAGGTCCTTGTCACGTATGGACAAACAATTAAATGATAGAGAACTTTAACTGTTTCTGCTTTGTTCTGGGCTTTTTTTTCATCCAGTTAAGTGTTGCCTTTATAGGCAACTCCCTTGAAGGCACTGTTGAGTAACACTTCCAGCAACGTCCCCAAGGAGGAGTCCAGGGCTGAGTACAAACTTTCCTTAATGAGTGGGTTGACTGGGTCTTCAAAACTAATCTCCAGTCAGGATTTTTGTATTTGTTTGTTTGTTTTCAGCCAGAGACATTTCCACTCTCATGAGATTCAGTCACTAGGAAACTAACTTCTTCAAAAGTGTGAGACCAGCAGATCTCTCTTACACGATAACTACTACCATATCAGAAATATACAATACCGGCTACTACCTTTCCTGAGAACCCTTTCCTCCAATAAGAAACATACATGTCTGGGTTCCTGCTAAGAGACCAGCTAATCTGATCCTTGAAGAGATATTGAGGCCTAACGTATTCATTATCGTTGACATGTGACTTATTACTCAAGCTTAGCAGTTTAAAATAACAACATGTGTCATCTCTCTGTGCTTGGTTAGGAAAGTAGAAGCCACATAACTGGGTCACTGTGGCTTTGCAGCTCCAGTGAAACTGTAGTAAAGATGTCAGCTGAAAATGCTGTCATCTGTCACTGACTAGGAGTGGGGGAATCTGGGAATCAGGTGCACAGCTGCCAAACTGACGTGGTTGGCAGGAAGTCTCAGCTCCTATCCACGAGGAACTCCATAAGGCTGCTTGAGTGTTATTGGATGTGACCACAGGAGACGACCACAGTACAAAGCTGAAATGGCAGTGTCTCGTATAACTTGGTTTTAAAATCGCAGACCATCACCTTTACAGTGTCCTATCAGTTACACAGTGCAGCTCTGTGAATAACAGGGGCTGGGATCACTGAAGGTCATCCTGTTGGCCAGTTGCTACACCTAATCATGTCACTGTGAGACAGCCTCAGAGATACGTTTACCTTTGCCGATACCATAGCTCTAAAGTACATGCATGACACACTCAGAAGATACCTGAGAATGAACAATCTGTCCTTTAACACATAGGCGCATACAAACATGGACATTTCAAGGGTTACAGCACCCATGAGCCTTTATTTCAAACACAAGTGTATGTGCATGATACCTTGTGTGTAGATAGTATGTGATAAAATTTTATAATGTACAGAATGAAATCAAATAACTAACTTGGGAATAGTTAAGAAAGCAGTTAAGAAATAGTTAAGAAATAGTCAAGAGGCCCCAACTTTGATCCCCAGCAATATGAAAAGAAAAAAAAAAGAGAACTAAAGAGTACATAAGCTATGATAAAAGAACCAGGAATAATCACTGAATTTTTTTGTATATTATATATACATATATATATATACACATACCCACATTATTCACCTGTCACTCACTGTGTCACAGATATAAATTATAACTACAGAATAAAATCATATAAGCCTTGACAAAATTAAAATAATAACAACAGATATATGTGTCATTAATAGTCACTTATTAATTTTAATCAATAATTTAATTATTAAAATTTTTAAATTAAGTGTTGATTATTAAATTGTGTAGTGGATAAGTAGTATGTTAATTAGACACTTTAAATTTAATTTTTTTAATTTAATTTTTAAATTTTTAAAATGCTCACTTGAAAAGAAAACACAAGTGCTCAATTGAGCAGAACATATACCAAATTTTATTTTTAAAAACTAATTTAACAGATTATTGAATAAATAATAAAATTATTATCTGTAAATATGTGAAATTATTAATAAATAATAAACTCATTATGAGATAAAAATATGAGGACAATAGTTTTCTTATTTGGCCATCAATACTGCCTAAAAATAAAACCTGAGGGGTTTTTTTTTCTTTCTTTTTTTTTTTTTTTTTTTGTATTTTTACCGGTACCAGGGATCGAACTCATGACTGCCTAAGTGCTTGCAAGGCGGGCACTTATGCCGCTGAGCTGAATCCCCAGCCCCAACCTGAGGGTTTTTAAAAGATACTAAATTCTTGATATTTTGCAAAATAATTGTTCTGTTTTCTTATCCTTATGGAAATATAAAAACTGAAAAACTTCTGTAATGAATAACATTCTCTGAAGTTTAGTAGTTTCTTTGGGTTCACTTTAATTCATTTTCCTTTTGATAAATTCATGTAAAATAAAATACATTCCTGTTTTTAAAATAGTTCAGCTGGCCTGATCCTGTTTCTAGAAGATTATTTTTGCCTGTCACTTTCTCATGCTGCTTGTGAACACAAACCAAGAGATTCTGGAAAATTGCTCCCCAACATTTACTAAGGCTATTTTTGCACTCCAGAATTGACAATAAACGTTCTTTCTTTTGTACTCTTAAGTAACTGATGTTTCTCAGTAAATATGTAGAAGTCTATGAAAGTGATCATCTCAGCGGCATAAGCACCTGCCTTGCAAGCAGGCAGATGTGAGTTCGATCCCTAGTACCAATAAAAATGAAAGTGATCATGAAGAGCTTTAAATTAAAGGATGTGATTGTTTGGTGGACTGTGTTGTCATCTCATTCTTAAATGCATTCCCCCAAAAATGTGTCTTAAAGCCTCCGAAGCCTGCGCAGATGACATGAAAAGGACATCAGTGTTCAGAGGGTGCTTTGCTTGCCATTTAGAGGGTGCACTTGCTGAAGTCACACACAAGTTTATGTCCAGCGGGGCTACTTATCCCACACCTGTGATCCCTGTCTACACCGCTGACCTGACCTCCACCACACATGAGGCAAATCACAGTTCAGTGAGGTTTGCAGTCCCTGGAATTCTGATGAATGCCATTATTCCTCAGTTCATTGTCAAGAGGGATATGACTGTAACCCTTGCAAAACAGGACACAGAGCCACTTCACATTCAGTTCAAAGCTCTCATAAAAATTGATCTCAAGAAATTGATAGTGTCAACTATCTTTCTACCAACAGACAAGTTTTGGGTTTTCAGGACTGTTTTCCTTGCGTGCTCTACTAGGGTTTTCCACTGAGCAATGAAGGCTAGACAATCTCTTCTAGTACAGACTTGTCCAACATATTTCAGGATATCAGGCCACCCTGGGTTTTACTCAATAAATACAGTGTTTCTCAGCCCCTGTTAACTACTGAAAGATGTTCATCTATCTTTCTATGTTCCTCCCTCCAGCCAGAACCCCTGCTGCCCCCAGGCTTGGGCATCCCATTGTTTTCTGGTTTCCACTAGAGCAAAAAGAGCTTTCTCTTGCTGGCTGTTACATCCTTTGTGCCTGATCCATAATGGGTACCCAACAAATACTTTCTGGAACACATGGACTGTATTCAACACAGGATCTACTATGGAGAAATTAACCTTCCTAAATATTAATTGCAGTAAGTTTACTCATTAAATTCTTAGAAAAGGAACCTCCCAAAAAGGTGGGAGGAGCATGGCAGAACCTGACGCTTGTTGACACTTCCGACGTGCCAGGTGACGCACCAGACCCTCTGCATGTCGCCTTCTGAGGTGGTTCTCACCATCCCTGCTGCAGAGTCTGTGCCTGACACACACCACGGTGAGCAGCAGAGAGGAGTCTGGCTGCACTTCTGCACTCAGGGCCTTCTTGTTCCACCACTCTGGCTATCCCAGTGGGTTTTGTTCATCAACACTCACCCCCCTTTTAGGAAACACATCTTCAGAGATTTCACAACATGCTGTTTAGTTTCCAGTGATGTCCAGACAAATTCCATCTTTTCAGAATCTTGGCTATTTAAATACAGCCAACTTATCTGTCCCATTACCTCAGTCAAGCTTCTGAGGGGTCAGATGACAAACATCTTGGTAAATGCCCTCTGCCACTTCCAGAATGCACATATTCCTTAGTGTTCAACTACTGCAACCCTAAGCAGCTTCTTTCTGAATCTGAAGAAAACTCAATTTTTTAATTCTAGTTAGGTATGAGGGAAGAGAAAGGATGGAACAAAGATGAAATTGTTCATTTCCTATTCCATGCCAGGTTTTCTTTCGTGAGTAGCTGGGTCCAGGCGCTGTCTGTTGTGAAGCCCAGTTAATTTGCCAGGAACCACAGGGCAATGGAAAAGACCAGCCTCTGTGCTCTTCCCAAGGAGGATGGCTGCTCTCTCCTTAGCAGAATTTGTAGAGAAGAAAAAAAGAAGGAGGAAGGGAAGCCAGAAAGTCTTCTCAGCTGGGAGGTCGGTGCCCCTTCAGAGCGCAGGCGCGGAGTTGTGAGCATCTGTCTCTCCCACCCCATCGACCTTGCTTCTTTCCTTCTCCTCATATTCCTTATTACTAGCTCTCCATCCTCTCCTCCTGTGCTATGGCTCTCTTTTTCTCATTCTCCTCTTCTACTCCTTTTCTCTTACTTTTTCTTTTGTTTTGAATCTATTTGTCCCTGATCCCTGCACTGCTTGCTTTCTACCAGTGTCAACTATTTTTCTTTTCTTACAACCTCAACCAATGTCCCTTTGCAATCCCACTGAGACTGGCTCTATACTCTCCTTCATCGTGGTACAAGAATTCATTGTTTGCCTACTTGTGGTCTTTACTAGAGTTCTCCAGTCCAGCACTCCAGCTCCCTTCCCAGCAACCCCCACTGAAGTTTATAACAAAACTTCCTGAGGTGCCATCGCTAAAGCCTCCTAACTCAGATTCACTCCAACAAAGATCCGGAAGCCTCACACTTCTGTCTTCTGCAGAGTGAACAAGTCAACTACCCTCCTGCCTCCTCTCCCTGTGATCATGTCTAGACTTGCAGAGCAGTGGTGGGCATGCCATGGACAGACACGTGTATAATTGAGGGGACACCTGTGTCCAGAAGCTACACATTTTTATTTCTGAAATTTTACACCACCTGCAGCTAGCTTCCTTGGGAATGTGCTGTTGCTATGACCCTGAGCGGGCTGCGTGGGAAGCAAAGATTTAGCTTCCACAAGCCAAGAAACACACTGGAAAAGACTGGGGTGTTTGCCTTTTTTCATCTGGAGATAGAGAATGTAAATGCTGTTTAATTAAAGTCATAATTCTAGCTTTTGTCATATCTTGGCTTTGCTGTTGCTGAATCTAATCTGGTTTTGCTTGTTTATCAAATGCTTTGACCACAGAGAAAAATTTCTGAAATCAACAGAGATTGTTTCCCAGCTCTTGTCCTCCATCCCACTCCTTCTGGGTCTGCACAGCACTTGGACTCACTTCTCAGCAGCAATGCTGCCCAGTGCCACCCCCCAGGTGTGTGCTTCTCAGACCTGAATGAGCATTCAAGTCCCTTGAGCTCCTTCCAATGCACATTCTGTGTCTGGGAGTGGGGTCAACAGTCTGCATTACTGGAGACCAAAGCAGCCCCTGCCCCAGGCTCCCAGCCTGACTCACCAAGTTCTCCTCAGAGTGATGCTGTCAAACATGGTCCTCACAAACAAGGAAAAGCTAGAGAGCTACTCCCATAAAAAGGAAGCCCTAGGATCAACCACTGAAGTGCTCTTAGGTGGGAAAGTGGGTCTAGGTGTCCCATGCAGATATGATGAACAAAACTGGAACCAGAAAGGGGTGAATCCCCTAGGGAATTGAAGTTGGCTCCACAAAAGCAAAAGGTTTCCAGTAATCAAGACCATTCACGGGAAAATTAGCCAGCCTCCTGGGGCTGTGGGACTCCAGCCAACCAGAGAAAACATCCATCAGAGGAGCTAGAAAATGACAGAGAGCAGAGAACATCCCCTTGGTTCTTAAGGTTATAAAATATTCATGGAGACTCTCCATGCATCAGTTACAAGCTCTTGGGCAAAATTAATCAGTTAATATTTTCAGGAATCTGTTAATCACTCTTCCTCTCCAGAACTGCTATGACTTCCATAATAACTCAGTTAATTAGAAGATGACCTAAATGATGAAAATGACATAGATTCACCCTTAAATGACCAGGTCACTGCTACAGATCAACCAAGAGTGTACAGGAAGCAAAAGCTTGGACTACATACTAATTCACACCAAAAATTCAAGAAACTCCTCTGGGCCTAGGTCCCTTTCCATCCATGGCAGCAGGAGCATGTTGAATGGGGTACGGACTCTCTCATAAACATGAGTTTGCATTTGCTCTAGGAATAGGTGGGCTTTTAGAGAAAAGTCAAAGAAGAATTTATAGATTAGTACAATAGAGTAGGTACCACATTTTCTAAATATTAGAAGAAGAATCAGTGTTCCTGGCTTTATCTTTAATTGGTACCACCCCAACTTGGGTGCCACCAGCCTGCACTGGGATTTCCTGGCCCCAACCAGCAATTTTATCAGGCATTACTTTGGTCTCAGTGTGCTTCTCCTATTTGACTGCTCAGCCAAATTCTGACATGATCAGTGGGCCCTGCTGTCCCCAACCCTGGGAGAGCAGGTTGCTGGACTTATCCTGTGTCATCACACTGCCCCATTGGTGTTGAGTATCTACTCATCGCTCCCAGCATTGAAAAGCCTTGTAGCTCTGTTTTTTGTAGGGGACCTCATGGGTGTACAATAAGTACCCAACCCAGAAGGCTCTCACAGAGGAGTGGAGGAGCCTGACTCCCTGCAGAGATGTATGACTTTGCCAAATAGCTTTTCTGTCCATCTTTCTGAGGGAGAGGAGAAGGTGTGGGCGGCCAAGGAGAGGGCAAGAGTGCGCCAAGCAGATCATTATGTGTTCTTGGAAGCAGGTTTAATGGACTGGCTCAGAGCGGAGCTGGAAACGGACTCTGAGGCCCTCAGACAGGACGAGGCTGGGGCGGGGATTCCACGTTCAGCTCTAACAAGTGGTGATGCTTTATGGAAACTTTTGAAAGATGTCCTGTTTCAAACCAGCCAGCTTGGACTTCATCTGGTAGCTCTAGCCATCTTTCCCTTCAGTTTAGGAGCCCAGGAAGGGAAATGAAAATCACTGACCATCCACTGTGTGCCAAGAACTAAGTCAGCAATTTGACTGTCCTAAGAATCCTAGGTTGCCCTTTGAGGAGGACGACCCGGGCCCCGACAGCACAGGCAGACAGGGCTTTTTCTCAGCTAGCAACCTTCTCTTTACAAGACCATTTTTGCTATGCTCCTCACCCCTGCCCTCAAGCCAAACGTCCCTCTTTTCAGCAGGATAAACATTCCCATGGCACAGGAACCCCAGGCTCCCTAGAGGAGATCAAGCTGTTGAGACCCTGTATGCCTGTGAAACAGGGCTGCACTGAGGTGCTGGGCCCCGGCTCTGCACACCCCACCAGCCCCTGAGAGAGCCCAGGGTGGGGACCTGAGTTGAATCTCCACAGCAAGCTGCCGGTTCTTGGGGGTCTCTCTTTTCTATCACAGTGAAGAAAGTTAACCGTGCTAACCGTGCAAAGTACAAGGAGCCACACCCACAAGAGGAACAATGCCTGTTTTGCTCTTTCACGCCTTGATTTCTCTGTAAATGGTAATACTGTCTGCACACAGGAAGGACACAGAGATCCTGAACAATGTGAGAACACTTCAGAGAGGACGTTCTTTGTACAGTCTTTATTCTTTTCTTGTTTCATTAAACATTTATCTAGAGTTATCACCTTTCAGGCTTTCTGTCAGGTAGCACAAATATAGAAATTAAAGAAACAATCCTTGTTTTTTTTTATTTAAAGAGAAAAAAAAAGAAAGGACATTTAAAAAAATGCAGTAAAAGGGTACAAATAATACAGTATTTCTAGAAAAAAATATATACAGTACGAAATCACCAGTTAATAGGTTACATATTATCTTCCCAGAAAGAGTTGTCCATATCACTAACTTAAAGCATATAAAGTGAACATTCATACAGTGAAATTGGAGACAGTTCCGTTCAATGATCCAACAAAAGCTCAGTTATATGGTTTTCCATCCTACACACTCGAACATACCTGCGGTTATATCCCTTAGTCCACCTTACTTTCCTCTCTTTTTTACAGTAACAATTAGACTTTTAGGGTTTTATTACTCTCACTGTTCTTATTACTTTTTTGAAGATAATAAAACCAAATGTGACTAAGCAAAACAGAGTCAGTTAGAACAGAAGGGTGGGCATAGCACGTGATGCAAAAATAGAATACCAGGTGATCAAAAGTGGTTACCATTGTGCCTCTTGCTATTTTTAAATTGAGTTGTCTATATCATCAGGTATAATAGAATTGATCAAAACAGTACAGAACAAAACCAATAAAACCTACACTGAGGACCTTACAGAACTTCAAAAAAGGATAATAGTCAATCCATATTGGGCATCATAGTATATCTTATTGCCTTCAAAGTGACAATCCTTGTTCTTAAAGGGCTCATAATACATACACATTTCCCATCAAAAGAAATATAAAAATATCTGAAGTCTTGTAGTTGGAGAATAATTCCTGAATGCATATGCATTCTCAACTCCTAGCTGTATACTTACTTGAAAGTCACTGTCTGTCCTTGATTATATTACATATATCACTTTCAAAACTTAACATTTTTGAAATTAGTATGCATCTTACAGTTGTGATTGGCAGCTATTTCTTTTCTCTTGGTAATGCATAAAATAATGATACATCTTACAGTTGATACTACTGTGGGTTCAATGAAATATATTTTTTAAATGTTACTATCCTCTCTCAACTAGACTTTTAACGGATTTTACAACCACTGAATCTAACACAATTTCCTTCCATAATTTTTACAGTTCATTCAGATGATCTAGTGTCACACAGATCATGTGTTTTAGATATCTGATTGTCTTCATAGGGAAGTTTTTGCCAAGGGGCCAGGACCAAGGCAATGTCACCGTTTGGCCAGCAGAGGGAGAGAGCGCACAGGCCAAGGATAGGTTTCCAACTCTTGGCACTGTGATTCGCCCTCCTAAACTTTTCCAGCGTGACCCTCAGGGAACCCCCATCTCCTCACTGAAACTGCATCTGCAAGGTCAGAATAGAAGCAAGGGAAAGATCCCCACCTCAGAGCAATGGCAACAGAAGGCTGGGTAGTATTTGAATGATGCTTTTAGAACCACACAAAAGATGAGCAAGGGCTTTGTGAGCTGCTTGCTCCTAGGACTGAGGAAGGATGCTAATCGTGGGTCTGCCTCCTGAAAATGTAGGCTCCGTGGGCTCTTCTTAAATCATTGTAAACTCCTGAAGCTCCCTGGGATTTTTAAATTTCTCCAAGAAGGTGTTCCAACTGTAGTAGTAGCCTCACAATCTCTTTCTTCCTTCTTTCCTTCCTTCATTTTTCTGCCCTTCCTGCTTTCTTTCCTTTTAATATTTGTTTATTAAACATGCACTATATGCCAGGCACTGTGCTAGGAGCTATGGATACAGCAGTAAACAGAACAAAGGACACTGCTATTCATATGAATGTTGATTTCTGGGTGGAGGGTATATAAATAAACATACAAATCTGCTCTAAGGAGGAATACTAGGTCCCCTGAGAGTATACAGTGAAAGAGTGCTGGGAGGAGGGTGAATCTGGTGAGACTTCTGTTACAAGTGGTAGTCCAGATAAAGTTCTCCAGGTAAAGAGTGAGGAAGAGGCCTTCCAAACTGATGACCTGTACATACAAAGATCCTGAGATGGAAAGTTCTTGACACCTGCCAGCTACTCACAGGAGGCCAGCATAATGCCCAGAGTCCTAGGACAAGAGAAGCTCAGGATGGACTAAAGCTCGTGGGAGCGTGTCAGTGCAGAACATTGCACACTTTACTAAAGATGTGTTTTATCATCTGAAACCATTGGTGGGTTTTAAGTAGACAACCAACTTGAGTGGATGTGAGTACTCCTATGTTAACTGCACTGTGGAGAATAGCGTGGAGAATAAATATCAGGGAAAGTGAAGGTGTCCAAGTGGGACTTGGTGGGTACAAAGTATGAGGCAAAAGTAGCTGCCTGTTGATGGTGAGCATAAAGGTGTATTTTAGAGATAGAAATACTAACTTTGGAGAGTGGAAAGGGAAGAAGCATTAAATCTGACTCCTAAGATTTTTAAGGGAACAGCTTGGAGAGGGAGAACTTTTCTCTGAGGGATGACAGGGTTGGGGAAACATTATGAGTTTTCAGCATCTTAACTTTAAGCTATTTCTGGAACATCCATGTGCAAGGGCAAGGTAGATAAATGACTCTGTGAATCCCGTGCCCAAAAAGGGCTGGAAATGTTGACTTGAGAGTCATAGCATGTAGGTAGAATCTAGAGCCACAGTGATGGCCGGCATTGTTTGGCTGAGGGGACGAAGGAAAAAGAAGATGCTCTGGAACAGAGATCTGCAGGATGCTTGTGTGTGCAGGAGGCAGAGCCAGTCAAGGGGAAGTGAGGCAGTAATGAGGAAAAAATCCAAAATAAAGAAAAACTGCTGCGTGAAGGAGGGATGATCAATTCTTAGGACACCACTTAGTAACTGTCTTCTGAGACCAAGACTGAGCACGTTTCACTTCACCAACATCCGGTCTCAGAGACTTCAGCAAAGACAGTGGTAACAGAAACCAGAATGCAAGGAGCCAAACAGTTGAAACAAGTGCCAAGTGTTCATTTGTGGTGGACTATACAGTGACAGTAGTCTACCCTGTTTATGAAAATGTAGTCATGCTAGGTTGCTTGAGGAAAGTAGGAGAAGTTAACGCATTGGGTGTGTCCTGGCTGAGATTTACCACATAGCACAAAGGAGGGAGAGTGCAGGAATAAGGGAGATAAACGAACTAAAATAAAATCTCATAGGGAGCAGGTGGATCTGATGGGTCAGAGGTCTCCAAGAAGTCAAAGGGTAGATCAGAGAGGGCACTTAAGCAGATGAAGTGAGATTACAAGAGGAGACATTTGACTTTTGAGAATTTATTAAATCTATGTTGTGACTTTGGAAATTGGTGGCTGGAAAGAGGAGGTGGAAAGGGTTGAGATGAGGAGAATGAGGATCTGGGAAGCCAAAGAAGGTGCTGGGTTATCTCCCTGGACACTAAAGGTGCTTTGAATTACTAATGTAGGGATGAAGATGATGGTAGAGCAGTGAGCTAGAGGGGAGGGAACGGTCCAGTGTAAGTCTCAGAGAACAGGGCTTCTCCACGAGCAAGGCGAGTGGGTGGTCCAGAAGCAAAAATGGAAAGCAAGAATAGCCTTTAGTAGGAGGAAAGAATGTATCCAAAGAAATGGAATTAATGCAGGGATGGAAAGGGGTCTTCATCCCCTCTGGAAGAGACCTCCACAATCTCTGTCAGAGTCTATGGTGGTAAGTATAAGGAATTGTCACACCCAATTAGGAATCTGCAATCCCTGTCCTAATAAAGACTTTATATAACTAGGGAATGCAGTGTGGAGCAGTGGGGAAACTGTTAGATCATGGTGAGAAATGCCCATCGTTTTTTATACAACCTCTGAGAAGCACAAAAACGTAAGCAAAGACATAACTGAGCTGAAGGGGACCAAAGAATGGCTGAATTAAACTAAATGGGAAGGGGAAAAGTATAGCACTACTGGGGGTAGAAGGACGAAATGAGAAAATTGGAGACCTTGAGCGAGGACAAGAGTAAGTCCGGGCCTAGTAGAAAGGACAAATAGCCCCACATAAAGGGAAAATGCCTCCAGCCTGGATACACACAGCTTCCATAGCAGAGCACTGCACTGCTTCTGAAGTAGCAAAAGACAGAAAGGACTAGAAAGAGCACAGGAGAGGAAAGAGGAGGAAAATTGGTAGTCAACTGTTAATAAAATTGTCTCATCTCAGTTTTATTTATTTTTCTTTGTCTTTTTCATTTTTATCGGTACCAGGGATCGAACTCATGACTGCCTGCTTGCAAGGCAGGTGCTTATGCCGCTGAGCTAAATCCCCAGCCCCCTCATCTCAATTTTAAAAAAGAGTTTCTATTAGCCCCTCAATCTACTGGATTTAAGTGTTATCAGGGGAGCAACAGATCTACAAAAAATGGCACAGTAGGTGACATGAAAGGCAGAAAAAGTCTTTCACTTCTTTCGTGAGATTAATTCCTAACTATTTCATTTTCTTGGACACTAGTGTGAAGGGTGTGGCTTCTCTTATTTCTCTGTCAGTGATTTTGTTGTTAGTATATAGGAATGCTATTGATTTTTGAGTATCAATTTTGTATCCAGGTACATTGCTGAATTTATTTATTATATCTAGGAGTCTTTCAATGGAGTTTTGGGGTCTTCTATGTAGAGTATCATGTCATCTGAAAATAATGATAATTTAACTTCCTCTTTTGCTATCTTTACCCCTTTTATCTCTCTCTTGTCTAATTGCTCTGGCTAGTATTTCCAGTACTATGCTGGATAGGTGATAAGGGACATCCTTGCCCTGTGCCTGGTTTTAAGGTAAAAGTTTTGGGGCATTTAATATGATGCTGGCTGTTGGTTTGTTGCAGATGGCCTTTATCATATTGAGGTAAAGACAATCTATTTCAATTGTCTGTAAGGTTCTTATCATGAATGAGTGTTGGACCTTATCAAAAGATCTACACATGGAAAATTATAATACCCCGAAAAAGAAATTAAGAGGATCTCAGAAAATGGAAAGACATCCCTTGTTCATGGATAAAAAGAATAAATATTGTGAAAATGGCCATTCTCCAAAAACTGCTATACAGATTCAATGCAATCCCAATGAAAATACCATCAACATACCTTATAGATCTAGAGAAATCACTCCTAAAATGTATGTGGAACCAGAAGAGACCTAGAATAGCAAAGACAATTCTAAGCAACAAAGGCAAGGCAGTAGGCATCACAATCCCTGACTTGAAGTTATACTACAAAGCTACGGTAATAAAAATCAACATGGTACTGGAATAAAAACAGATCTAAAGATCAATGGAATAGACTAGAAGATACCCCACAACTACAAACACACTCAACCACCTTATCTTTGATAAAGGTGCCAAACATGTTCACTGGAAGAATGACAGTCTCTTCAATAAATGGTGCTGGAAAAACTGGCTCTCCACATGCTGTAAACTAAAACTAGACCCATGCTTATCACCATGTACTAAAATAAAATCTAAATGGATCAAAGATCTGAATATTAAAACAGAAACACTAAATCTATTGGAAGACAAATTGGGTAAAAACCTTGAATACATAGAGAATTCATGAACAGGAATCAAATTGCATGGGAAATACTTCCCAGAATCAATAACTGGGATCATGTCTTATTAAAAAGTTTCTGCATGTCAAAAGAAATCTGCAGCATAGTGAAAAGAAAACCCACAAACTGGAAAAAAATCTTAGTGAAGTGTCCCTCAGACAAAGGACTTCTGTCTAAAACATGTAAAGAATTTTTAAAAATCAGACCCCCAAAATTCAAAGACCCAATCCAAAAATGGGCATCTCAGATGAATATATAGTTCTCAGATTAAGAAATACAAATGGCAAATAAATGAAAAAATGTTCATCATCGTTAGTCATTAGAAAAATGCAAAGTAAAACAACACTGAGATTCCATCTCACTCCTGAAAGAATGGCCAGGATGAAGAAAACTACCAATAACAAATGCTAGAGAGGCTGTGGGGAAAAAAAGGAACTCTCCTGTACTGTTGGTAGGAGTGTAGACTGGTGCGACCACTGTGGAGGTCAGTCTGGAGATTCCTCAAAAAGCTGGGATTGGAAGTCCCATTTGACCCAGCTATTCCACTTCTAGACATATTCCCAGAATAACTGAAAACATCATACCACAGTGACATATGTGCACCCATGTTTATAGCGGCACAATTTGTAATAGCCAGAGCTTGGAAACAACCTAAGTGTCCGTCAACTGAGGAATGGATAAAAAAAGTTGTGGTATTTTTATGCAGTGGAGTAATACTCAGCTATAGAAAGTGATCACATTGAGATATTTATAAATAAATGGATGTAATTTGAGACCATCTCATAAGCGAAATAAATCAAACTCACATGTATACATACCATATAGTCTCCCTAGTGTAAGAAATGGTAAGAGTACATAATATTTTATGGTAATAATGATTCCCCATTACATTGCCTTGAAGCCTTATAATGTTTTCACTCATTTGTTGGAATGGTTTTATTCTGGTTCGTTTGATTTCATTATCTGTGATGGTATGAACAGCTATGTTGAAGAAAACAAGACATTATAATAGCCATTGCTGATTTAATATCATCTTGCTTTGAAGTCCTATCATGTTTCTGTTCTTCTGTTTCCATTGGTTCTATCATATTGTATCTTATTGGATTTTATTATGTATGATAGTATAAACAAATGTTTAATGGAACATGAGATAATACAGTAGCCACTGTTTGTCTTTGGTTATTTGGTTCTGAATGCCCTATAATACTTTCATTGTCTTGAATGGTTTTATACTACTTTGTTATGTTTGATACTATTATATGTGAAGGTATGCTCAGCTATTTCAAAGAAAGAGACATTACGGTAGCTACTGTTAATATCGGGTTGTCTTGTGAGTACTGTGTTGCTTACCTTGTTTTGTTCTGATCTTCTTTATTCTGTCCTCTTTTGTCTTAATCTCTTTAAAATAAAAAAAATTTAAAAAGGTAGAAAAAGTCTTTTTTCAGTGGTGGGGAATATTTCTAAGTAGGTGGTCAGGACGTTCTTCACAGCAAGGGACTTTCTCCTGGGCCTGGAAAAATGAGGGTGTTTAAGGAAGTCAAGCTTACACGGGTAAGGAAGAGCTCCAGGTCCTTCTAGCAGCACAGTTACCACAGCAGTAAGCTCCATAAGTATCACCGCTGATCTCCCCCAGGTCAGAAGCCTCCTGAGGAGTCAGCCTAGCCGCAGCCAAGTCCCTCATTCACCTGTTCTTTCTCTTCCCCTCCACCAGTCACATCCTGATGAGTGATCAGCCGCTAAAAGAGATGTCTGACAACCACAGCAGTCCTCTTCTGCCAGAGACCCTTTCAAACAGAAGCAGCCTCTACGACTCAGAGCCAAGCAGCCCTACCTGGCCCTCAGGCTCTCAGGACACACAATCAGCCCTGCCCTTGCTGGAAATGCCTGAAGAAAAGGTGAGCAACGTCTGCTCCAGGGTGTTTTCCAGGCAGAAGCTGGGGGAGGAGGAGAGTGGAGGAGGATGGTTTTCCTACTTGCCAATGGACTCGGCATATACAAGAAAACTCCACTGCTCAGGGAGATTCCAGTCTAATCAACACATGGTCACATCTATGACTGGCCCTTCCTGACCTTAGATCAAAAAACCTGACTCTGAGTAAGCTACAGTTTTAAGGACAAGTAAAGAATATACACACTGACACATTTTCCAAGCTCTCTGCCCTTGATCTTGCCCTCTTGAATTACTCCATGGTGTCCAGAAGAAAAGCATTTGTTAGGATACAGGTCATTGGCTCCTAAACCTAGGAGCACAGAAGTAGGCTGACTGGGTACTGATTGTGTAAAGAGGGACACAACACTGTTAAGCATGCTTTAAAATGAGGCCTAATCCACATAGCCTAAAATTTGTCATTTTAAGGTATACATTTAAGTGGTTTGGCATATGTAATGGCTGATACACTTGTGTCCACTTGAGAAGTTTAGAAGTTTAACTAAGCATCTCAGCAGGGGGCCAGGGTCCTTACATTATAAACATCCTCTTCCTACGCAAGAGGAAGACAGAGAGATGGTGTGAGTGCGACCCCTACCCTAGTAGGGGCAGCCTGTTTACAGTAGAAAAGAGAAGAGGCTTGCTTCTGCAACTTTTGCTCTTGGTGTTTTTTCTGTCTCCTTTCACCTTGAACTGTTTCCCCGGTGCCGTGTTGCCCTGCCTTCTAACTAGCTGATTACAGAGTGAAACCTCCACAAACTGTGGGTTAAATATCCTTTCCTTCCTTAATTTGAGCATTGGGTATTTTCTCCCAGAAAAGAAAAATAACCAGACAACGTATATTTATAGAGCTGTGCAAACATCACCACAATCTACTTCCAGAATATTTACATCACCCCAAAACAAACCTCATGTCTTTCAACGGTTACACCCCAACCCATTCTTGCTCCAGCCCTTAGCAACCAAGCTATTTCCTGTTTCTGTACATTTACTTATTCTAGATATTTCATATAAATGGAATCATATGATAATCCATGACCTTTGTGACTGGCTTCTTTCATTAAGCACAATGTCTGCAGCTTCATCCATGTTGTAGCATGAACCAGTATTTCACTCTTTCTTCAATCAAATGACATTTCACTGTTATGTGTGTGGACATATTGTAGTTTTCAGTTTGTTTATCCATTCATCAGTTGATGGAAATCTAGGTGATTCCCACATTTTGGCTTTTATAAATAATGGTACTATGAACATTTATGTACAAGCCCACGTATGGACATATGTTCATATTATCTTGGGTATAAATGAAAGAGTGGAATTTATGGATCCTGTGACAACTCTGCTTAGTATTTTAAGAAACTGCTGTCTCCCCAAATCAGCTACATCACTACGCATGCTCAACAATATATAAGGTTCTAATTTCCCCACGTCTTCAGCAAAACTTAGTATCTTTCTCTTTTATTATAATCTAAATGGATGTAAAGTTGTGATTTTGGTTAGCATTTCCCTAATGATAAATGAAGTTGGACATCTTTTCAAATGTTTATTTACCACTTATTTATTTTATTTGAAGAAATGTCTTTTTGATTCCTTCACCTATTTTTAAAATTGAGTTATTTGTCTTTTTGCTATATAGTTGTGATGATACTATGTATATTCTTTTTTGTTTTGGTTTGTTGTTTTTTCTGTATATATTCTATATGCTAGACCCTTACCAGATATATGATCTGCCAATAATTTTTGCTGCTACATAAGTTGTACTATCATTCCCTTGACACTGTCTTTTGAAACTGAAGTTTTAAAACTGATCAAATCTGGTTTATCTAATTTTTCTTTGATTGCTCATGTTTTTGGTGCCTCATCTTAAGATGCCATCTTCTTCTACAAGGTCATAAAGATCATGCCCATAGTTTAATAATTTTAGCACTTATGGTTAGGTCCTTTATTTATTTTGAGTTAATCTTTGTATATGGTATAAGGTAGAGGTTCACCTTTCATCTTTGCATGTAGAAATCCAGTTATCCCAAAACCATTCATAAAAAGACTATTCTTTCTCCACTGAATTGTCTTCTGACCTTTAGCAAAAACTACCTATAGATATCTAGGGTTATTTCTTGACTCTGTATTTAGTGTCACTGATTATATCTTTATTCTATGATAATACTACACCAGCATGATTACTATTGCTATCTAAATCTTAAAATCAGTAAGTATGGATCCTATTTTATTATTTTTTCAGAAATATTTTTTTACATGTGATAGTATAAACAAAATTTTTATAGACAAGGAGATAATATAGAAACCATTGCTCATTTTCTATTAGTTGGTTCTAAATACCATGTAATACTTTCATTCTCTTGAATGGTTTTACACTGTCTTGTTATGTTTGATGCTATAGTATACAAAGGTATACTCAAATATTTCAAGGAAAGAGACACTATGGTAATTACTGTTATGTTGGGTTATCTTGTGGTGAAACACTACGTTGCTTAAATTGTTCTGTTCTGAAAAAAAATATTTTCTTTACCTTGGGACTCTCATATGAATTTTAGGACTAGATTTTCCATGTATAGGGAAAAAGATGACTAAAGATCAATTTGAGGAATACTACTATTTTAACAAAATTAAGCCTTCTATGGACAAGGGATAAACTTTCAGTTTATATAGATCTTTTATTTCTTTCAGTGGTGTTTTGTACTTTTTGGTGTACAGGATTTGCACTTCTATTATTAAATTTATTCCCTAATAGTTGTTTATTCTTTTTGATACTATCATAATAGAATTATTTTCTTATTTTTATTTTCAGATTGTTCATTGCAGATGCATAGAAATATCTTAGTCACTTTCTCTCGTAACTGAAACAAAATGCTCAACACTCGAGGTCAAAGGAGAAAAGGTTTATTTAGTTCACAGTTTATAGAAGTTTCAGTCCATAATCAGCTAGTTCTAAAGCAAGTGGTATGTGGCAGAGGGCCAACCATTTGTCACAGTAAAAGATAGCAAAAACAACAAGACAGAAAGACAAGACTATATTTTGTATGCAGGCGACCCACCCTAGGGCAAGTATAGCAATCACACCCCTAGTCCCAGCATCACACACTCTAGATTCAGCCACTTCTGAAAAGTCCCCTGACAATATGAGGCTTTGGGGAAACATCCAGACACAACCATAACAAGAAACAAACTTGATTTTTTGAATATTGATATTCCATCCTATAACCTTGGTGAACTTTTTCATTACTTTTAATAGATCTTTTTTCAGACTTATTAAAAGTTTCCAATATAAAAACACACACCGTCTTGCAAATTGAGATAAGACAATTTCTTTCTTTAAGTCTGGGTTATTTTTACTTCTTTCTCTTGCCCAATATGGGCTAGAAAATCTAGAATAATGTTGAGTAGAAATAGCCAGAATATACATCTTTGTCTTGATCATAAGGGAAAAGAATTCGTTCTTCCACCAGTAAGTGTGACATTAGTTATGGGCCTTTAGTAGATGTTCTTCATCAAGTTGAGTAATTTTCCTTCTATACTTAATTTATTGAGGGCTGGATGCCTTTCAAGTGCTCAGTAGCTTCTTGTCCTTTTGGCTACCTTGAGAACACATGGCTTTAGATCAAGAAATCCTGACCAAATAGCCTACATATTAAGGTGAATATGAACTTGGATGGGGTAAAACAATTTATAATTGTTTTCACTAACTTCCAATGGACATTAGCATTTACTTCAACTACAAATTTAAGCAATGCACCACAGTCATGTTAGTAGTGCCTGAGTTTCTTCACTGTCCTACATTGGGCTCCAGGAATCTGACTTTCAGATGAATATTTGCAAATAAGAATGTTACTAGAGTGTGCCTTTGGACTAACATTTACAGGAGAGCAAGGGAAACAGGATTAGGGAGGAGACATTGAGCTATCATGCAGTCACAAAAGAAGCCCAGCAGATCCCATTGTGAGCCATGCAACTGGATGACCTTACAGAATCACCCTGAGTTGTGGTGGGGCAGTTTACAAATTATAATATGCACTATATCTATACCATAATTTAACTATATCAATCATAATTTTTAAGAGGGTAAACTTAAACAGAACAAAACAGATCATAAAAAAAACAACTTAAGAAACACAGATTTCAAAGTAAGATCTTCACTGTCTATCATATTGTCTCTTGTTTTCTTCCAAATAGTTGTCCACATCTTCACACACATTGACTACATACTAAACAATACAGTGTTAAACTGATCAGAACAGGATGATGAAGATGTTTTAGGTCTTCAAGACCAGACAATAGAGGAGTAAACAATGGCTTCCATAGCCAACCATAATTTTTAAATACTGTGATCATATTTCAGTATAACTGGTTTGCTTTGTAATATTAATTATTTTATATATCTGTGATATTATTCTAAGTTTCCAAAATGAACCCATGGCATGAAATGTTAAGAAGTCCAGCTATGAGTTACCTGGGAATCCTCAGTGAGGCTCTTGGGTACTGGGAAGCTGCACCCAACAGCCCACCCACACCTGGACAGCATCTCTGAGGCCCAGAGGTACCCGGAGTCTGTTCCCAGAGATCCGTAGTCATCCGCAAATGCTTGATGAGACTCTTGGGGACTGGGAAGCTGTGCCCATGGGCTTACCTACAATCAGACAGCAACTCTGAGGCCCACCAGGATTGAGAGTCTGAGCCCAGGGACCCACAGTCATCCAGGAACCCTCAGTGAGTCTCCTGCGAGGACTTCAAAGCTGCACCCAGTGACCTACTCACCTAAGAATCCTCTTGAGGTTTTTCAGGGACTAGAAAACTGCACCCAGCAATCTCTCCACACTCAGGAGTCACCTCTGAGTCCCACAGGGACTAGGAGCCTGTGACCAGCAACTCACAGTCACTTGGGAACCTTTGGTGAGGCCTCCTAGGGTTTGGAGTCTGTGTCCAATAACCCATCCATATCTGGAACCATTTCTG